AAAATTTGCACCTTCACTTTCACTCAAATAATTTTATTTTAAAACAAGAAATATTTACATTCATTAAAAAAAATTCGCAGTTTCACTAAAAAAATTCTCAATTTCGATCAAAAAATTTTTACTTTTATTACAAAAATTTCACATTCCCTACAAAATTCTCACTTTCACTTTGACTTAAAATATTATTATTTTTACTCAAGATTTTTTTATTTTTGTTGAAAAAATTATCACTTTTGCTGAAAAAAATATTGACTTTACTAAAAAAAAAAATTAATTTCCGTAAAATATTCTTAATTTCGATCAAAAAATTGTCGGTGTTATTAAACAAATTTCATATTTCCCCAAAAGTTTTCACTTTGACTAAAATATTTTTATTTTTACTCATAGAGAAAAATATTTATTTCACTCAAAAAAATTTATTTTTCCCCAAAAAAAATTATCAATTTTGATCAAAAATACTTTCGCTTTTATTAAAATAATTTCGAATTCCCTAAAAAATGTGCACTTTCACTTTAATTCAAATATTTTTATTTTTACTTAAAAAATTCTCACTTTCACTCAAATAATATTTACTTTGACGCAAATTATTTTTAGTTTCACTTAGTTAAAAAACATTTGAATTTTGAAAGTGAAAGTGAATATTTTTTCAGTGTCAGAATGAAAATTTTTACATGAAATTGAAAGTGAAAATATTTTAAGTCAATGTGAAAGTGAGAAATTTTTAAATGAAAGTGAAAATTATGAGTAAAAATTAAGTACTTACAAAAAGAGGAAAGAAAAAAAAATATTTTATTGACGCAAGAATAAAAAAAGGTGTTAATATTTATTATATGCCAAAATCGTTAAATCTTAAAAAAGAAAATTTCAATAAACAACAGATGGGCGACCCCATATAACGGTGTTAACGAGCAAAATTTTCTCGAAAATTGTGAAATAAATACATACACACACACACAACCCCTTTCACATATTTATATAGTTAATCGATGAATTTCGCATTACGAAAATGTGCGTGAACATTATTCCATTTTCACCGACGGTAAATATGATCTATATAAAAGAGAAGAGAGAAAATGTCAAAAAAAAGAGAGAAAATACAAAAAAATAAATTTTAAAAAAAAATCGAAAAATGTCCTACAGCCCTACATATTGGATTTCACTTGTATACACGCACCTTTATTGTTTTATGCATAGAACGCACACGTGGCTTTCTCGTTAAGGGGTTGGTAAAGCCTGCTATATAAAGAGAGGAGAGAATGTTATAGAGGGAGACTTCAGGTCGTTACGCGCAACCGGTCCACTATGTATATATATCTCTCCCTCCCTCCCCCCCCGGCGTTGACCGTACACTGGCTATCGACAACGACCCCATGCAAAATCACCCTTTTGTCGTACAACTCGATGGGAAATTACTTTTTGTCCGTCGATTACGGGGTGAATTTTCGAGCGACGGGACCCGATCATTTCAATGGTTGCCGGAAAGGACGAGAAATTATCGAAAGAGTTAATCCTCAGTTTCATTATATACATTCAATATTTTTGTTTTTCATATTTTCTTCTATTTTGCTTATTTTTTTTTTTTTTTTTTTATTTTTGAATTTTAAATTTTAATACGGTGACAATTTTTGCTGAGAGACATTTATAGGGCTCGAACCAGTGGAAATATTTAAAAATAAAGACTTTACGGATCAAAAAATGAAAAATTACGGATCAATTATTATTGACAAAAATATAACCAGTTCTCATCAGGATTAGAATAGAAATAAATAATTTTGATTGAAATCAGGAAACAGTCATGAAAATACTGAATTAAATTTTTGTGAATCGTCTAAAACAATTTTTTTCTTTTTATTCGTAAAAATTAATTTTCGATAGCTACTTTTTTACTAACTTTTTCAGTATTAAAGATACTTTTTGATACTTTTTTTAAAATTAATTATTGAGTGTAAAGCCTGCATTCGAAGTTTTAAATTTTCAAGGATTTGAAACATTCAATAGGACTTGAACTTTCAAGGTTTTGAATTTTCGAGGTTTTAAATATTTAGGGATTTGAGTTTTCAAGGTTTTGAATATTCGGGGAATTGAACTTTCGAGGTTTTAAATTTTCGGAGAGTTCAACTTTCGAGATTTTGAACTTTAGAAGTTTTGAATTTTCAAAGAGTTGAACTTTCGAGGTTTTGAACATTCGGGATATTGAACCTTTGAGGTTTTTGAATTTTCGAGGAGAAAGTCGAAAGCTAAAATCTGTCATTTGATTGTTAATAATATTATTTATAATAATAAGAAATAATGAATAATAATTATGGTGTATTAAGTACAATGGTAAACAATAATAACAAAAAATTATTTAAATTGACGTAAAATAGTAAATAATAATATTAATAAAATTTTATCATTTAACAAAATTTTCTTAACTATATATGAGTAATATATGTTAATCGAATGGAAAATTTTTTTTGCACCCTTCTTCAGTTCATCCCGCTACCAAATGGGAAACAAAGGGAGGCACCCGGTCGGTTAATTTAATCTAAGCAAACATCACATAGATGGAATGAGAATGTATTTTCGCGAAAACTGTTGGGGTATAACAGAGAGATGAGAGAGAGAGAGGAGGAGAAAGAGAGAGTGTGGGTTGAGGGGGGTAAGTAGGAGTGGGGTTCGTTAAATTCCGTGGGAGTCTACCAAGAAGGAAGGTTTTGAGAAGCTAGGCTCAACAGATCTAGATACATACATAAGTACAAGAGTATTCAAGACAGAAAGCGGAGGAGCAATGTTTAGCATGTAGATGAAGATCTTGGTAATCAAGGGCTGGAGGCCCCTTGGGCGCACTTCCTCAAGTCTCACTTATTTCTGTTTCCAGTCATGTCTCGCGCGATCTCTCTGAAATTCAACACATTCACTGCTCCATATAAATACGAATCTAAAATTCATCTGCACAACTTATCTCTGGACCATATTTATATATCTAAAGTGTTTAATTTTACCAATAAAAAATACAAGTTGAGATGGTGAAATTGTTTGTAAAAAATTTCTTCACTTTCTTGCTCTCATATTTCCACTTCTTTAATTTTAAATCAATCAGTTTACGATTAATGTATCGAGCAATGATCTATCACCATACCTCGTCACATTCGAGAATATCGTTAGAATAACAATTAAAACAATTGAATTTTATAGTTTCATCAAAAATTTTATTAAAATTCTTGAATAAATTTCAATTATTTTCCAAAAATTGTCCTCAATTCAATGATTTTTAATATCTTTTATTTTAATACAATCTTCCAAAAGATCAATTATTTAAAAAAAAAAATTTAATACAATTCAACGCAAGCCTTTAATTATTTGCATTTTTTTTTATAAATTTCTTTGCAATCATTCAATTATTTTCATAAATAATAAATTTTTTTCAAGAATTCAATTATTTTCGTAAATAATTAAATTCTTTTTAGAAATTCAATTATTTTCATAAATAATAGAACTCATTGCAGAATTTCAATTATTTTTAATGTATTCTTTAAAAACTGCAATTATTCATTAAAATTTGATTAAAATTCGTTAAAAGAATCCAATTTAAAGAAACATTCAATTATTATTGAATAAATTATTTATTTTTCTATTAAAATATAATTGAATTCTAGTAGAATTTTCTAATAAAAATTGATTTAAAAATGTATTTCAGTTAAAATTTCAGATTATAATTGAATATTAAAAGCATTAGAGTGTGATTTTTTTTTAGAAACAATTAAAAATAATTGAATTTTAAAAGAACTTTTTCAAAAATTATTTAAAATAATGCATTTCTAAAAGAATTTTAGTTAAAAACGCGAAAAAAAAATTTAATTTTGGAAAAGTTACAAATTATTGCAGAAATTCAATTATTTTCAAGAGTAATATAATATTTTTCGCAGAAATTAAATATTTTTTTAAAATAATAAAATTCTTCTTAGGAATTCAATTATTATCACAAATAAAAAATTATCATTTAATGTTTTTTAAATAATTGAATTTTTGTGAAAAATTTTATTATTGTGTCTATTTTGAAGAATTTAATTTCTGTGAAAATTTTATTACTTTTAAAAAAATTGAATATTTGCGAAGAATTTTATCAAGTCTTTTCTGAAATTTTATTAAAATTTGTATAGATATTGAAAATCATTGATTTTCGAAAAGTTTTTGAGAATAATTGAATCGTTTTAAAGAATATTATTAAAATTTTTAGAAATTTTTTCTTATTTCAACTATTAGCGAATTTAAAGTGTGATGCAAATTTATCCCAAAAATAAAAAAAAAGTAGTTATTTAGTGTCATAAATCTAAAAAAGTATTCAAATAGTAGCAAATTGTAAAAAAGTAGTAAACAGTAGGTTTTAGTAGACGAGTGCGAAGCCTGCGAATGTTCAAAAACTTGTAAATTCAAAACCTTGAAAGTTCAACTCCCCAAATATTCAAAACCCCAAAAATTCAAATCTCCGAATATTTAAAACCTCGAAGGATAAATTCCCCGAATCTCGAAAATTAAAAAAAAATATTATTATTATTATTATTATTTTTATTATTATTATTATTCTTGTCATTGTTATTATTATTACTATTATTATTACTATTATTGTTATTATTATTATTTTTTTAATTTTCGCACAATCAGTAAAATGTATTATTTTCAAAAATAAAAACAGAATTAAAAATTGTTTGATTTGTTGATAAAAAAAAGGTGCTGATAACAAACCATTTACATAAGACAAAAAAAAGTGCGATACGAGTACAAAAAATATTTAGATTTCCTTTCACTTCTTAAATCGATTTTTTGATAGAAAATCTATTAGAAATTAGAAGTAGAATAATTGCTAAAATAGTGCGACTATGATTTATCTCATTACTCTTTCCTAATTATTTTTTTTCAGTTTGTTGAGAATAACTGCCACTCTTAAGAGATTATAGATAAGAAGATAAATATGTTGATCTTCAGTGATTGTGTTGGAATTCTTTCAGTCTATAATGTGCTTCTGAATAGTCGAATTCTCTGAACAAAATATATAAAATTAAGTAAACTTGTGAGATTAAGTAACAAAGAATAAAAATTTTTTTCACATTCTATAAATAAATTTGTGTGAAATTAACGAGTAGTGATAATATTGATATTAACAAGGTCAGTTAAAATTCACAATTCGAAATGAAAATTATTCCACTATATTGAAATATGTGAAATAATATGTGAATATAATTATTCCATTGTTTATAATTTATTGTTAATTACTTAATATCCAATGTAGATATTTCGTATATGTTATTTCAATAATTTACATAATCGATTTTAACGGACAGAAAGAATGTAAAATTGTTAATTTTAATAAATTATTATTATTTTTGTTAATTTTTAATTTTAATTTAAATTTTTTTATTTATTATTATTATTTTTATTAATTTTTAATTTTAATTTTAATTTTTTTATTAATTTTTAATTTGAATTAAAATTTTTGTATTAATTATTATTATTTTTATTATTTATAAATTATTTATTATTATTACTGTTGATCTTTAAAAGAAAATTTTCTTTTCAAATTAGTATTTAGATAACATTTTTTATTCTTTTTAGCTTTTTTACATTCTCAGAAAAAATAAGGTCTTTTTTTAAAATTATTTTTCTTAGAAATTTTGTCTCTTTGCTACAAAAAGAATATTCCATTGTGTCATACATTGTTATCAGACATAACGTCTGCAAAATTATTGTTTACAATCTATTGACTACCATTTTATCGCAGTATAGATAAACGTACAGAAAAAAAAAATTTGCTTTCTTCTGAAAGGAGGAAAATTACGAATATGATTAATTCATTATTCATAACTTTTGTTTCAATTTCTTTTTTTTTCAGAAAAGAAAATCAATTCTTATCAGTCAAAGAGAGCATTATCATCATGTTATAGTATTTATTTACCTATGAGATGAGAAATTTTTTCTCGAGAATTTATCAATAATTTCAAAAAAAAAAAAAAAAAAATGCATACGAATTGTAAAATGAGTCAGAGAAATAATTACAGACTTGAGGATTTGAGACGTTTGGAGCAAGCACTAAAGACAGCATCGGCTTATATGACAAACTATGCAAGACACGAGGACACGGCAATATTTATTGGAAGTACAAGATCTGGAAAAAGTTCCCTAATCAATTATCTCATAGGAAATAAATTAATTGGTAAAAAAGTTGCAATATGTAAACCAGTGGCCTTGATAAAAGCCGATACATCGCCTGGACCACAAATTGGAATTGGCTCAACATCCGAAACGGCAATACCAAGTCGTTGGGATTCAAAGAGTCTCTCAGGTTTGGGAATATGGGACGCGCCTGGTTTCGACGATAATCGCGGTGTTGTTCAAGATATTACAAATGCCTTCTATATTAATGAACTTTTCAAAAATATCAAATCAGCGAGAATTGTTTTAGTCACCGATATCAATGACATTGCAAACGATAGTATTAGACCTTTCTTATCGCTTTTAAATTCAGTCGAACGTATATTGAAGGAAAAAATGAGAGACTGTTTCTCAAGTGTTGCGGTGATATTTACAAAAGTACCCGATTCATTGCACGACAATCGGGTTGATAAGAAATTCATCAACGAATTACTCAAAGAACAATTTCTCTCCAGTAGTGCAATTGACATTTCCGAAGCGGCAAAAGAATTCATTCGTCATTTAATAAAGAATAATCAGAATATCGGTTTTTTTAAGAAAGCAGCCGCTGGTAATGTCACTGAACCGGCAATCGACGATTGCATTACAGACGCTATTAAAAGTACAAGTGGTGTGGATGAAAAAATTTTGAAACAAGTCTCACCCAGTATTTCCGAGGGTTCAAAAGTATTTCTCTTCGAAGTTCGCGAACAATTATCATCGATGAAGGAATTCAATCAATTGCAAAAATTAGTTGGCAGTATTTTTGGGAATAAATTGAATGAATTTGAAATAATGAAACAAGATGGTGTTAGTTGTGAACGTCTGATTGATATTAATCAGGAATTATTTATCATTAAGGAACAATTTAAGAAAGTTTTACGCTCAACGACAAATTTACATAGTAAAATATTGACAATTGAAAAAATTGATTCTTCTATTGAGAATTTTATTGTTAATAAGAATTTATTGCAAAAGGCAAAGTTTATGGAATTTGTCGATCAATTGTTAGATTTAAAGGAGAGTCGTCATTTTGATTTTAATTTACACGGTATTATTTTGACGGCAATGACTAAAGTTGAGGAATTAATAATTTGGGTGAAATTGCAATTGGGCGAAATGACGAGAAAAGAGGCTGAAGAGGAATTGTATCGATCGAAAAAAAATTACGAAGTTGAAATTAATCAATTGAAAACCGAGGTCAAATGTGCTAAGGTACATAATAATAAAGTTCGTATCGAATTGGGTCCACTAGCTCGCGCTGGCGCAACTGTTGACGATTTGATAAAGGTCATTGGACTCTTTTTTTCGAAATTTAAAATCAAATTTCGGTGAAAAAATTATAAATAATTATAAATAAATTAATAAATAAATAAATATAAATTAATAAATAAATAAAACTTAATTAATTTGGTTTAAATAAAATTTTATTTGACTCAAATATATGTTTTATTTATATCGAATAAAAATTTTATTTAAGGAAGAATCCGACAAACAATCGGAACAAAAGTTAGTCCAATATCATCATTTCGTATTTAAAAAAAAAGTCAAATTAAATTTTAAATTCTTTCTGGTAGAATTTAATTTTCTTCATTTTGAACATTTTACAGTTATATTTGAATAAAAATTATAATTTTTTGTAATTAATAAATGATTTAATTAAAATAACGTAAAATTTTACAAATGTTTCTTATTGACAGAAAATTGCAATTTTTATTTAAATGCAACTTTTAATCGTTTTAAATATTCAAAATTAAATTCTTCGCCTTTCCATCGAGACAAATTTAAAATTCAATTTGTTTCTTTCTTTTAAATTACGAAATTATGACATTGGACTAACTTTTGATTTGACTGTCCGTCAGATTCTTCCTTCAAACAAATATAAAAAGTCTAGTTGGTTCTGAGACAAATATACGTTTATTCAAGTCAAATAAAAAATATATTTGATTTAAATAATATTTTTCTCTAGGTGTGGAAAATAAAATAAAATACAAAACAATAAAAAAATATTATAATAAACTAATAAACAATTTTTGTTCTATTGTAAGAAAAAAATATCCCGTCAAGTACTTACGATAAATTTTTCCCCTTTGAACAATTGCAAATGTGCAAAAATAATAATTAATTTTTCTATTTGTATAAATACTCACTTTGTGTGGAAATAAAGTTTCCCGTAGAATTGTCTAAGAATATAATATGTGATTCATCATTTTTTATTGTCTAAAATTGTCTTTATGTGGATTATCATTTCGAGAAGAAATATTCTTTACTCATCTGCGTTGTAAATATTAATTAGTCACAAAATAAAGAAATTACAACATAAAAAATACTTCGAATAATAATAAATAAAAAATCGTTACAAAAAATTGTGTTTTTTAAAAAAAAGTTACCTTTAGTTTTTAGATTATAATTTTCAAATAAAATGTGGAGAGAAATATTAGAAGCTTTAGTGCGCAATTTGAAATTTATTGCATTCAAGGAAGTCGCGTCAATTAACTGATAAGAAGTGCATTATAAAGTGTTCAATCGAAATAAATTCTATCACTCTTTCACTGAGTAATTAACGGCGAATAAGTTTTCTCACTAAACTTGACAATTTGCATTTGCAATTTGGAGTAAAAATTTTCAATTACAATTACAATTTACAATTCAAATTTACAATTCAAATTTACAATTCAAATTCACAATTAACATTTACAAGTAAAATTCACAATTAAAATTTACAAGTAAAATTCACAATTAAAATTTACAATTAAAATTTACAATTAAAATTCACAATTAAAATTTACAATTAAAATTTACAATTGCTATTAAAATACAGAATTGCAATTAGAATTAGAATTAAAATTTAGAATTTACAATTGCAATTAAAATTCAGAATTGCAGTTCTCCAAAATTCCTATGTAAGTATTTTGATTAATTTTATTCACTGAGAAAAATTATTTGATTCAAACAATCGATTACTTATTATAAAAGAAATATTTACTTGAATTAAACGATTTTTATTTAAGCCAATTAAATTATATTTGAACCAATAATTTCAGTATTTGAAGCAAATACCATTTAATTAATCACCATTTAATTTTTTATTTATCATTTAATTACCATTTCTTTGAGGGTTGACACAAAAATTTAATTTTCTTTTTCCTTAATTTACAGACAAAACTTTGTATTTTTCCCTGGCCCTAAAATATATTCTGATTCACTCTAAAAATTATTAGATACTCAAAAAAATATTCTATTAAAGTTATTTACGAATTTCTTCAATGTACAATTATTCAAAATCATCAATAACTTATTTTCTAGATAAATATTTAATCATTATTTTCTAGATAAATATTTAATCACTATTTTCTAGATTAATATTCAATCATTATTTTTCCATTGAAATTAAGATTTTCAAAATTATTTAATTCGAGTAAATATTTATTTGCTAATAAACAAATAATCGATTGTTTGAATTAAATTTTTTTTAATTACAATTTTCAAAATAAAAAATAATTTCTCTTATAATTTTCAGTTTGGAATAAAAGGAGAAAATGCATTTCGTAACAAAATGGATCATTTTTTTCGCAATAAACAATGTTTTCGCTCTTGAAAATGAACCATCGATTGACGACATAAAACATTTGGAGAAAGCTCTTCACGTTGCACTAAAGCACATGAAACAAGAGGCAAAATATGAAGATGTGGCAATTTGTATTGGACTAACAAGATCGGGAAAAAGTACACTAATTAATTATTTGATTGGAAATAAATTAATTGGCGAGAGAGTGTCACTATTCAAACCAGTGGCACTGAAGAAAGCCGATCAATCACCAGGACCCGAAATTGGAATTGGCTCAACGTCAGAGACAATGATACCAACCAGATGGTTGTCAAAAAATTTTCCCACTTTAACAATTTGGGATGCTCCAGGCTTCGACGATAATCGTGGACCAATTCAAGACATCACTAATGCATTCTACATTTACCAATTACTGCAAAATGTGAAATCGCTAAAAATTATTTTGGTCGTGGATTTCAATGACATTTTAAACGACAATATTAGACCATTTCTAACAGTTTTGTCGTCAGTGGAAAATTTATTGAAAAAGAATATAAAAAATAGTTACAGCAGTATGGCGCTAATTTTTACAAAAGTACCCGACTATTTAAACACAAGTCCAATTGATTTCAATTTCATCAATGATCTTCTGACCGAACAAATTTTAACCACCTCGATTCACATGTCAGTGGCCTCGAGAAATTTCGTTCAATTCCTAATTGAGAACAATCAAAATATCGGCCTCTTCAAAAGAGCAAAAGTTGGACCAATAACTACGGAGATGGTAGACAATGGTATTTTCACAGCCATTCAAAATACCACAACCATCAACGAGCAACTTCTAAGAAACGTTTATCCAAGCATTTCCGAAGCATCAACAATTTTCCTATTCCAAATCCGCGAGAAATTATCATCAATGGAAATATTCGTCAATCTGCAAAATACTCTACGCATCGTTCTTGATCAAAAATTAGAAACCTATGACGATATAAATAAATCTGGTGCATTAAAAACAAAACTCAATGGAATAATCAAAGAATTAACGACAATTCGCGATCGAATTAATAAAGCACTAGTGCCAGGAATAAATTTCTCCGCTAAAATTGAAATTCTTCAAACAATTGATATTCAAATTGAAAAATTAATCACTGACAATAATTTAATTGAAAAATCGAATTTAATGGAATTTGTCGATAAACTATTGGATTTAAAGGAAAGCAATCAATTTTCAATTAGTCTCGAAGGTGTTTTATTGACCGCTAATACAAAAGTGGGTGAATTAATTACTGCCGTGCAATTGAAATTGGGCGAAATAACGCAACAGGAATATAGTGAAAAATTGGAGAGTGAAAGAAAAAAATTTGAGGAAGAGAGACGTAAATTGAATGAACAAATGAAACAGGTGAGTGAACATAATAATCAAAGAAAAAATATATTCGCTGAATTGTTTACAGCAATTGGCATTGGTATTGCAAAGGCGATCTCAACAATTTTCGGTTAATTAACGAAATTAAAAAAGTTTACAAAAAAAAGACAACAATAAATTTTTTTTTTGAAAAAAAATTATTTTATAAATAATAAAATTATTCTTATTAATAGTGAAATTAATTTTTGAGTAATAAATATTTTCGTTTATTCTTCAACGTAATAGTTAACAGATAAGATTTGTAGATTCGTTATGTAATAAAAAATATGTAATAAAATAGTTATCTGATAAAATTAATTACCTAATAAAGTAGTTGTCTAATAGTATTAGTTGTCCAATAATATAATCATTAAATAAATAAAATATTTTTTTCACAAAATTTAAAAAAAAATAAAAAATTCTTTATTATTTATTTATTCAATTTTTTATATTATATGAGTAATTACACTGAACAAAAATTTACTTGATTCAAATAACCGATTAATTGACTATTATCAATTAAATATTTAATTAAATCAAATAATATTTATTGCATTTAATTAACTGGTTCAATTCATATTTGCTTTAAATACTGAAATTTTTGGTTCAAATACCATTTAATTGACTCCAATAAATATTATTTGATTCAAGTAAATATTTAATTGATAATAGTCAATTAATCGGTTATTTGAATCAGTAAAATTTTTTTTCAGTGTAATAATTGTTCACAATTGTAAGAGTATTAATTGTCTCTTAAAATAAAATAAAATTATTTATTTAATTATTACTATTTTTGGACTACCTGAAGAGAAAATCATTTAGATTTCGAAACGTTGGAGTAAATAAATATTTTATTCATTGTCCGAATGTTTTCGTTTTATTTGCCTTAATTTATTGAATAAAAAGATAGAAATTAACAGCAATAATAGTAAAAATAAAAAAAATAATAATAACAATAAAAATAATAATAATAATAATAATTTTATTATTATTATTATTATTGTTATTATTATTTTTTTTATTTGAACAATAAATAATAATGTAATTAAGAAATCAACAGAATAATGTTATATTAAAACATTTAAGTTAATTCTAATAAATAATTTTACGAATAAATAAATATTTTCTACAAAATAAGTGAATCTGAAAAAAAATTATCCTATGTAAAACGTATTTTGATTCATAGAAGCAACAAAGGAAAAAGCGACGTTGGAACATTTGGAGATTTTTCGGATGAAAATCGAAAAAATATTTGAAAATATTTTCTCTGAGAAATTGTATTTAATTGGTATAAAAATATTGATTTTGTATTTTTGATTTAATAAAATAAATTTTTTTTTTCTATTTTCATAATTTTTTTTCTCAAATTTTGAATAAAGAAAAAGAAAATTAATCATCGAGGTTTTTTGCTCCCGGCGCCACCTTTCTTAGTGGCTGTTTTTCGTACCCAGCTTTTCTTAAATCGTTTCTAAGATTTCAACATCAGCGGCGCCACTTCTTTAAGAAAGCACTTCTTTTCCTGTCTTACCGACGATTCTTTTCTTTTTTTCTAAAATTAAAAATTCAAAAAAATATTTTTTTTCTTTTTTTTTTCTTAAATTATACAACTTAAGAATTTATTTTCCAAATTCTGTATTTTTTTCCCACGGTATTTAAGTTTTAATTGAAAAAAAGTAAAGTGCTTGAAAGTTACAATTATTTGGATTTTATTTTAAGGGGTAAAAATAAAAAAAATTGCAAAATTAAAAAAAGAGAAAATTGTTTTCGAAATATTTTTCGTCAAGAAATTGTACTCTTTATATTTATGTGTAGAAAAAAAAATTGATTTCAGTAATAAATAATTTTTTATTTGAATTAAAAAATCGAAACCAATTTTTTTTTAAAGTTAAAAAAAGAAAAATAATTGAAAAAATTAAAAAAAAAATTTTTTTTTGAAAAAGTAAAAAATGTTTATTACCGACTATGAATTCTTGAGAGCTGCGTTACCAGGGGGTGAATTTCTTAGGGTTGAAAGAGGGTGCGAGAAAGAGAGTTCGGAACTTTCTTAAAGATCTTTACAAACTTAAACGTCCGAGGGCAGCACTGGTATAAAAAGTAAAGAAAAAGTCGAAAAAAAAATTTAATAAAAATTTTCCTGAAATTAAAAAAAAACAATGTTAATTTACTTGCAAAAATTTTTTTTTGTTTTTTACAAATACTTAAATTTACAAGTTTAGTCAACTTTATAAAGCGTAATTTTCAATTCATGTGAAATATTAATTTAAATCGAATTCAAAAATAAATGTTTCAAAATTTGTAAATTCAGTGATAAAATTCTTTTTCTTTTAAAATTTCCAAAAATGCTTTGTTATCTAAAATGTTATTATTACCAAATTACCAAATTACCATAGACAAAATTTATATCAAATTAAATCAAATTGCTATCAAATTGATACCAAATTAAATTAAATTGCTACTAAATTGATACCAAATTAAACTAAATTTCTACCAAATGTAATCAAAATTATATTAAATCAAATAAAATTGATACTAAATTGATAATAAACGAAAAAAACAAATACCAATTCAAATAAAATTTATATCAAATTGGACCAAATTAATAAATAAATTAAATCAAATTTCTTCCAAATTGCACATATTTGATAGCAAATTGGTAACAAATTGTATCAAATTGATACTAAATTGAATCAAATTGGTACGAAATTATATCACATTCCTACCAAATTGGACCTAATTGATAGAAAATTAGTAACAAATTGATACTAAACTAAATCAAAGTGACACCAAATTGATAAAAAATTGTACCAGATTGATACTAAATGAAATCAAAGTGCCACCAAATTAATAAAGAATTAGATCAAATTGATACTAAATTAAATCAATTTTATACCAAATTAAACTAAATCGGACCAAATGAAATCTAAATTGCTACCAAATTAAACCACATCGATAACAAATTTATTTATAATATATAATGAGTACGAGTAATTAAAACCTATTTTTCCCCATTAATTATTGACTCGTTTTTGGTATATAATTAATAAATTTATTAAAATATTTTCAAGGCAGCAGTGTTAGAGTAGAACAAAAGCGAAAATTAAAATTCTAATTTAATGACAACACATTTTATACATAAGTGAATATGATTCGAAAACTAATACATAATGATTGGATGGCAAATTCTGACGACATAAATAATAATAATACAAATAATAAAATAATAATAGTAATGATGAAAGTAATAATAATAATAATAATAATAATAATAATAATAATAATAATAATAATAATAATAATAATAATAATAATAATAATAATAATAATAATAATAATAATAATAATAATAATAATAATTATAGTAATGATGACAATAATAATAATAATAATTTTAATAGGAATGGGAATATTAAAACGAAAATAGAAAGTTAGGCTAGTGTGAGGACAAACCAAAGCCAAAGCAAGAGAGATCTCGGATAGTATCTTGGCCGGGTCTCGCCCGTAGCTAGGCAACCCCCACCCTCTTAAACCCACCCACTCACCCCTTTAACTCCCCCTTTTCCCCCCCGACAGTCAACCTGCTGCTACCTTTTCCGACCTCACCTCCAACTGCCGTTCCTCTTTCAAAACCCACCCTCTCCTTCCCTCAAACTTACCGCGGGAGAGCGGGTTCCCAGTCGTCCCGCAGAGGTCACGCTGGGGTACCTCAAACCCCGGGGTTGTACCTTCTTTTACACACCTTCTCAACCCCTTCAAACTCTCACTCACACCAATTCTCACAAGTCTCACTCGCTCTCATCTTTATCGCAGATCCTCTTGATTATAATCCACATCTTCAAGATTTCTCTATAATTATTTACAGATTTTCAGTGCAATTTTTTTTCTTCTTCTTTTTTTCTTCTTGTTGAAAAACAAAAATCATTTTTACTATTTTCATAGGAATAACAAAATTTTATTTTTCCATTTATTTATTTAGAAAATAAAGTCCCTAAGGCTATTTTAATATTCACGTCTGACTGTACTTGATTTTTACTACTTAACTAGAAATTTTTTTTAATTACGTCTGACTATAATTGATTTTTACTACTTAACTAGAAATTTTATTATTCATGTATGACTGTACTTGATTTTTACTACTTAACCAGAAAGTTTATTATTCACGTCTGACTAAACTTGATTTTTACTACTTAAGTAGAAAAATTTTTATTTACGTCTGACTCTACTTGATTTGTACTACTAAACTAGAAATTTTATTATTCACGTCTGACTATACTTGATTTTTACTACTAGAATAGGAGTTTTAGTAATTATGTCTGATTATTCCTTATTTTTACTACTGTAATTAAAATTTTATTATTTATGTCTGACTACATATTATTATTACTACTTCTTTTGTACAAATAACAGAAATTCTTATATTTTCGTCTGAATCTATTTATTTTTTACTACTTAAAGAAAAATTTAAATGTTTTTGCCTCATTAAACTTGATTGTTATTACTACAGGAGTTTCAATAATTATTCCTGTCAACAATTGATTTTTCCTACTAGAACATCAATTTTAATAATTATGTCTGACTATTCCTTATTCTTACTACTTAACTAGAAATTTTTTAATTACGTCTGACTATGGTTGATTTTTACTACTGAAATAGAAATTTTATTATTCACGTCTGACTATACTTGATTTTTACTACAAAACTAAAAATTTGTTTACTTAAGTCTGACTATACTTGATTTTTACTACTTAACTAGAAATTTTTTTATTTACGTCTGACTATGGTTGATTTTTACTACTTCGGTCGAAATTACCGCAATTTTTGAAGGTAAAAAATATTTCAAAATTGAAATATACTGTACAAAAAACTGAATAAAAATTTATTTTTTTATGTCTGACTAAACGTTGCTTATACTACTTGGTTTTATTTTCATCCCAAATAATACAAATGATTGTAAAAATGTTGCGTAAAAATTGTACGGTATTGCGAATATTCTTCTTCAAATCATGGAATATCGAGGCAATATTAATGTCACATATTGTAATATTTGGTTAGTGACCGTCTAAAGCAGCAAGTGATATAAATTTGTCTGATTTTCAGCTTATCCCACAAACTATCTGTGCAAATTATCCTTATGTGAATTTTACATCCTGGTTAGAAAATTACTAGACCTTGTGTCATAATACCCAACCAGTAAAGTAGTCGCAATAAATAATAAACATATATGGCACTTTCGTAAGTAGTAAATATAAAATCTAACTGATAACTATTCCTTTCTATAATCTAATTTATAAATCAATTTTTATATTTCAATATTCTACAGTAAATGTTTGTATTCATCAGAAATCTACAGTAGAAATCTACACGTAGAAATCTACACGGAGAAAAAAAAATTTTTAATACGAAAATAAGTAGCAAAGCAAAAACATAATGTTTGAATTAAACATAGTTTATAATTGAACTAAACCTAATTTTTATTGAATCAAACTTCATTTTTATCAAACTTCTTTAATCGAACTTATTATGTATTTAATTAATTATTATTTAAAAATTATTATATTTAATTTTAAAAATATTTCTTGGTTGACTGTATAACGAAGATAATTATGTTGGATTCAAATATATTGTTTTCTCAGTGTATGGCAAATATTACTAAAGCAGAAATTTCTATAGCAGACATTACCCTAGCAGATATTCTTTTAGCAGCTATTTCTTTAGAATTTACTACTCTAGCAGAAATTTCTTTAACAAATATTTCTTGAGCAAAAATATTTCTGTAAGATAGTGTTCAAAGGTAGATATTATTCAATTTCTAGAAATGGGTTTAAAGAAAACAAATTAATTTTCGATAGAATGCAGGTGAATAATTTATTGAGATTTATAAAAAGGAAGAGTGAAATAAGGGAGCAAGCTGAAGGTTGGTAAGTTAAGGGATGATAGACACCATTTTGTTTTGCGGTTGGAATGCGCTGTGTGTAGGGGTTGATACTCGTTCTGCGCATCGTCTTGCGGTTGGTTTGCGGTCTAGGGGGTGGCTAGGACCGATCATTGGCCGTGGGGGTGTTGGGGGTGGTTTTTGGGGGTGTGGTGGCACCTTGCGGTTTGCGGGTTGATCTGTTACCAGGAGACAAGGGAGGGTGTACACTTCTCTTATCGACCTTCCATTGGCTGTCGGACAATCTCAAGACTAAAAGCTACTGACAGCAAGTCACCTTCGTCTCTTTTCAATCTCTTCATCATTGGCATCACTGTTATCAGTGTCATCAGCGTCATCAGTCCCATCAGTGTCATCACTGTTATCAATGTCATCATTGTCATCATTGTCATCAATGTCATCAATCTCATCAATGTCATTAGTATCATCAGTGCCATTAGTGTCATCAGTGTCGTTAGTGTTATCAGTCTCATTAGTGTCATCAGTGTCATTATCACTGTTTTCTTTGTCATCAATGTTATCAGTGTCATTAGTGTCATCCTCACTGTCCTCTTTGTCATCAATGTCATTAGTGTCATCATCACTGTCATTATAGTCAACTAAATCTCAAAAATTTATCACTTTTTAATCGTTACGATCTAATAGAATATAAAAATCCAAAAAAAATTTTTTAACTAATGCATCCAAATGAGTAAAATAAACACTGTTGTAAAATAAATCACGTAAAAAATAATTTCTGTATACAATAAGTTAAGGGAGAAAGGAATAAACTATTTATCAACATTATGTTATTTTGGTGCAACAACTATTTATTAACAGTACGTTATTTTAAGAGAGAAAGGTTTTTAATTTTAACGTTCTTTTTAGAAGAAAAATGATTTAAATAATTTTTTTTCGGGGCAAAAAAAGGCTTTCTCTGGTTGAGGTATATGGTGTGTTACTTACCCTCTTGAAGAGAAAGCTACCTCTGGCGTTTAATTACGCGTCCCCCTAACTCTGCGAGAGCTCCCTTTCATTAAGGCAATAATTTTAATAATTTTTATCTTTTCGTATAATCTGTCTAATTAAAATTACGCTTTGATCGTGAATCTCCTCTCGAGGCTTTCACCCCTCTATCTTTGAGAAAATTTTCATACACAATTTATACACGACGATACAATTGTAAAAGAAAATGGAATTGTTAAAAAAGGAAGAAAAAATACAATTTTTGGAATAATGTAGAAATAAAATTGAAAGAAATAAAAAAAATTCAGTGAAAATAAAAATACAATAAATTTTTAATAATTTATATCTGACTACACTTAATTCTTACTACTAAAATAGGAATTTTAATAATTATGTCTGACTATTCCTTATTTTTAGTACTGTGAAAAAATGTTTAATATTTATGTTTGACTATACTTGATTTTTACTACTGTGATAAAAATTTTAATATCTTTGTCTGAGTAAACGAGAGTTTTACTACTTAAACAGGAATTCTAATAATTATTTCTGACTATTCCTGAGTTTTACCACTGCAATCAAATTTTCAGTATTTTTGTCTGACTAAACTTGATTTTTTCTACTACAGGAGTTTCGATAATTATGTTTGACTAAAATTGATTGTTACCACTAGAACACAAATTTTAATAATTATGTCTGACTATTCCTGATTTTTACTACTTTCATTTTAATTTCAATAATTATGTCTGACTAAAATTGATTTTTACTACTAGAACACCAATTTTAATATTAATGTCTGACTATACTTGATTTTTACTACTATGATATTTAAAGTCTAATTACAAAATTTCACCTCAGTGAAAAATACAATACAAATAAAAATAAAATACTGATAAAAATACAGTACTAATAAAAAAAACTAATGATTAAAATTCAGTGCTAAGAAAAGTTCACTGCTGATACAATTACACTACTGATAAAAATGCAGTACTAAAAAAATACATAACCTGTAAAAATACAGAAGCATTAAAAATACACTATCGAATAAAAATGCAAAACAAAAAAATACAAAGAACCTAATTAAAAAAAATTGTCTTTTAAAAATTTTACTACAGAAATTATTTTCTGCACTTATAATTTACTTTAGTTAAAAAATATTTCCCAATTTATTATTAAGCATCAAAAAAAGGCAACGAAGAGATTTTAAAGTCCTTTTTTGTAAAAAAAAAAAAAAAACTCGCAATCCTTGATGGAAATGTTGAAAAGAAGAAATGTCTTTGGAATCGTTATTGGCATTCGACTAACGTTACCCATTCCAAAGTCACTTTTCAAAAGTTTTTCAGTATTTTCTCTCTTTCTCAGTTTTGTGTGTCTATTTTCTCTGTCTTTCGTTCGTGTGCTCCTTTTTTTTGCAGCCTGCGCAAAGAGATATCTTCAGAGCGAGAGTGAGCGAGAGAAAGAGAGAGCAAGAGTGGAGAAGGAAATGGGGGTATGAGTTTTGGCTGAGTTAGGGAAAAGCTCGTATTCAAATGTTGATGAAATTGACCAGACGAGCTTTGATCTGGCCTCTTCAAATATTCGCCAAGAGATTGAAGTGAACATCTGAGAAGAGAGCGAGAATTATCTTTCTCGCTTTTCCTAGGAAAAGGAAATTTAGTGCAGGTCGTGAATGTTGCTCTTATATTCTCGAAACTTGCTTATGTACCTGTAAGACCTCAAAGATCAATTAGAATTTTCTTCTTTTCGCTTTTACGTTGCAAAAATTCAAATAGGCTCATCTCAAAAGGTTTCGCTTCTCAAAGAGAGTATGATTAAGCCTTTTTTTTTGGAGGAAAAATATTTTTTTCTCTACTGTGCTTTGAATTAAATTATTCTTTATTATTAACTCATTTTTTTTTAAATATGAAAATTGAGACAAACAAAGAATCAAAACGTTGCTTCGCAACACTTTTTGTCTCAATTTTGATATTCTTAGAAAAAAACTGTAAAAGAAAAAATTGTTTCGATTATTAAAAAATGGTTATTAATAAATTGTGTTGATTATTAAAAAATGTTTATTAATCGATTGTTTTTAAGATTAAAAAAGGTAATTAATAAATTGTTATGAGTTTAAAAAAAACTGTTATTAATAAACCATTTAGATTATCAAGAGATTTTTTTACTTTGTCTAATCAATGTTTCATTGAATGTAATTTTGGCCCAAGTAAATGTATATTTTTAATCACAAGGTTTGCAATTCAAGACGGTGAGTGAAAGAGGGAAAAATTGTAGAGCTACACGGCCCCTTCCATTTAGAGTTTTAATATTTAAAAAGCGCATCTGAAATATGTCGATTCTAAAACATAAATAGCAGGGTTGTAGTTCGTGCTCTTTTCTCAGAAAAAGTCTCCTTCTCTATCCTCTTATAGAATTCTCTCAAGTCTCGAATGATTTATTCGTCACGTTACTTTCACGCGCTAGGCGAGGTTTACCGTCGAGAGAAAGAGAGAGAGAGAGAATTTGCATTTTGTTCAATTCAAAGAATAGTTGAGAAAAAAAATACTCTTCTCACATCTTTCTTTTATATCAAACTTTTTCTTTTCGAATCAGAAATTTAAGAAATTGACCAAAAATAAATGGATTCGAATGAAATTACTTTAAAACACTACTTTATAAAATAATGTAAAAAAACTAAAAAAGTGTAAAAAATACTGTAAGAAATACTGTAAACAATATAGTCAAAATATTACTAAAAATACTGTAAGAAAAACTGTAAAGAATAGTGTAAAAATACTGTAAAAATAGTGTAAGAAATACTGTCAAGAGTAGTGTAAAAATACTACATTCTAAAATACTGTAAATATACTGTAATAAATACTGTAATAACTATTGTCAATAATATAGTGTAAAAGTACTGAAAAAATACTGTAAAAAATACTGACAAGAATAGTGTAAAAATTCTGTAAGAAATAGTGTCAATAATAGTGTAAAAATACTGAAAAAATACTACTGAAAAGACTAAGAAATTCTGTAAATAATATTGTACAGTCAGAAATAATTATTAGAATTCCAGTTCTAGTTGTAAAAATCAAGTTTAGTCAGACGAAAATAGTAAAATTTATATCACAGTAGTAAAAATAAGGAATAGTCAGACATAATTATTAAAATTGCTGTTCTAGTAGTAAAAATCAATTTTAGTCAGACATAATTATTAAAACTCCTGTAGTAGTAAGAATCAAGTTAAATCAGGCAAAAACATTTCAATTTTTCGTAAAGTAGTAAAAAATAAATACATTTAGACGAAAATATAAGAATTTCTGTTATTTGTACAAAAGAAGTAGTTATAATACTGTATAGTCAAACATAAATATTAAAATATTAATGACAGTAATAATAATAAGGAATAATCAGACATAATTACTAAAACTCCTATTCTAGTAGTAAAAATCAATTTCAGTCAGACATAATTATTAAATCTCCTGTATAGTAGTAAAAATCAAGTTTAGTCAGACAAAAATACTAAAAATTTCATTACAGTGGAAAAAATCAAGTATAGTCAAAAATAATTATTAGAATTCCTGTTCTAGTAGTAAAAATAAAGTTTAGTCAGACAAAAATATTTAAATTTCTATAACAGTAGTAAAAATAAGGAATAGTCAGACATAATTATTAAAATTGCTGTTCTAGTAGTAAAAATCAATTTTAGTCAGACATAATTATTTAAATTCCTGTAGTAGTAAAAATCAAGTTTAATCAGGCAAAAACATTTAAAATTTATATCACAGTAGTAAAAATAAGGAATAGTCTGACATAATTATTGAAACTCCTGTAGAAGTAAAAATCAAGTTTAGTCAGACAAAAATACTAAAAATTTGATTGCAATGGTAAAAATCAGATTAATTAATTAATCAAATACTAAAAATACTGTAAAAAAATATCAAGAATATTTTTAAAATACTGTAAAAAATAGTATAAAAAAATACCACCAAAAATATTGTAAGAAATACTGTAAAAAATAGTGTAAATATATTACAAAAAAAAACTGTAAAAATTTTGCAAAAATACGAAAGAAATATTTAAGAATAATGTTTCTTAGAAAAAAAAGATGGAATTTGACTTTTCTCCATCTGTTTGCAAACACTTGATGGTGAATTCTGAACGATAATGTTGGTACACGTATGAAACCTATGGCACCTTCCAAGAACCCCTTAAACGTGAATTTGATATTCGTAAATCTGTCGGGCGTTTTCCATAAATCAAAACTTACCCTCGCTTACACAAGGGGAATGAACGGTCAGGAAAATTCACTCCCTTTCAAAAGAGAAGTCTGCAACATCCGCTCGACATCTTCTCTCTCTTAAAAATTGATTTCCACCCCTATCAAATGTTGTCTTTTTTCAAACTTTTTATTGTACTCTTTATAGACCTTAAATTCGACTCCATGAACACTGTTTATTATTTCTCTCTCTATGAATAATTTTCATAATAATTTTATAATTTTAATTTATAATTCATAATATAAAATTATAAATATTATAATATAATATTGTAATTTATATTTATAATAATTATAATTTTATAATTTATTATAAAATCTGTTTATAAAATTTTTTATAGAATTTTATACTTTTTAATACTTAATTTTTTTGATAATTTCAACAA